GTTTTACAACAGTGGCATATGCAGTATTTGTCCTTTTGTGACGGAGATATTTCACTCAGCATAATGTCCTCCAGGGTCACCCATTTTGAATAATATTGCCTTAGTTTCTTGGTTTTTAATGCATCGTAGTATTCCATTGTGTGAATATACCACAGTTTCTCTATCCATTCGTTTGTTGGTGGCCATTTAGACTGTTTCCAACTCTTTGCTTTTGTGAACAAAGCCGCGATAAACATGAGTGGATTTTAGTGTCATTTTTGTTCCTATTGTTGAGTCCCCTTGAGTCAGTTGTGATTCGTAACAGCCTTGTATATCCCAGAACAAAAGCCTTCCTGGTCCTGTGCCAGCGCTACTGCTGAACTTGAGCCCATTCCTGCAGCCTCTGTATTGTTCCATATTTTTGAGGGTCATACTGCTTTTTTGCTGACCCTCTACTTTACCAAGCATGAGTTCCTTCCTGAGGGACTGCCCCTTATAATAATAGGGAACAAAGGTATGTGAATTGAAGCCTCTCAATCCTTGCCAACCAGGAGCATTGTGGCTTGACTTCTTCCAAGACTGATTGGTTTGTTGCTTTGACAGGCCTTGTTATAGTATTTTTTTTCAACACTACTATTTAAAGTTATCAGTTCTTCAGTCTTTAATTATTGTCCAGCTTTCATGTATACGTGAGACAGTTGGAACTCTCATGGCTTTGATCAGGTACACCTTTCACTACAGCGACATTCTTCTTTTCCAACACTTTAAAAGTTGTTTGCATATTTGTGCTTTTCTGGCAGTTCATATCTACCTGTGGTTTCACAGGAGAAAGATGTACAATGTACAGCCCCAGGAAACCTACTAGAGGGTCAGCTGTGAGTCTGTTCCAACTCGACAGTAACGAGAGTGAGTTACGGCATGATTTCTGAGACTATAACTGCCACAGTATACTGTTTATCCTTTGAGAGAAGGGTGTTTCACTCAGAAAATGTATGTTTCTTGATGTGGTGTGATATGGTCAAAGCCCTGACATTGAATATTCAGCTGGCATCTTCATATAAGTGGAAAAACTGGACCAGAACACGTGAAGGCTGTTCTGATTTCTCTTGCATGTTGCTGCAGTACTTGTTGGAAAGTAGAAAACTTGAGGCTTCTACCTTAGCCTTTATATTTTGTTCTGCTTTATTTTAGTGAGTGATAAGAGATTACACAATAATGTGGCAGTATTAATCTCTTTTAGTTCTCAGGAACTCTGTTGATTTAGTGGTAAGGAGTTGTATTGCCAGTGCAAAGGTACAAGGTTCCAATCATCAGCTGCTCTGCATGAAAAAGATGAACAATCAATTCCTATGCGATTAACTGCCTCTGAAAACCCTGGAGGTTCAGCTGCAGGTCACCTCTGACTGTGGTACACAACAACAACAACAAAAGCTAGAAGAGTGACTTTACTGAGTAATCTTTTAAAAATGCTATTTAAGGGGTGCTCTGGTGGCCTAGTGGCAAGAAGCTGTACTGCAATCCCAGAGGAACACAGTTCAAATTCACCAGATGCTCTGCTGGAGAAGGAGGGACAATCTCCTGCTGTACCAGTCAGATCCAATTTGACAGTACACACACAAAATTTAAAAAAAAAAGAAAAAAGATATTTAAAATATTTAGAAAATAAAAAAAATAGGAAAATACTGATATCTTAATAACCATGAACTTAAAAATTCAGATGTTTCGAATTTAATCTTATATGAATTCCCTTTTTAAGTAGATATAAGATACAAGAACAGAACCAGACAACCCTGTCTACTCTTTGGATAGAATTCTCCTAGGGCAAATTCTTAATGTCTTAGATTTTTCAATAGGTGATACACTATATGTATGTATAATTGGGATGAAATGGGATTTTGAAGGATTTTGTTATATTTTGACTTCAGGTTAACATTTTAAAGTAAAGAATAGTTAAGTGCTTCCAGTTAAAATGAGTAATTTGGTTTTTATGACTTGGAAGTTAATGCAGTCCATTATACTTGCTTTATTTTGGAGTAGTCCACTTTCTCACTTGCAGAATTTGATTTTTTATCAGAAGTGTCTGCTTACAGCAAATACTTGTATCTTTGGATTTTTATTGAAAGATTTTCTTTACCTTTTTTTTTTTCTTTCTCCTCAGTTCAAAGCAGTATTCAGCGATTTCAGGAGAAGTTTTTTATTTTTGCTCTGACCCCTCAACAAGTTAGAGAGATATGCATTTCCAGGTAAGGTGAATGTCTAGAATATGTTTTTCTCTGAATGTGAAATTAAGTATTTACTATACTTTGATCTGAATATTTAATACATGTGATGTATTAGGAAAAATGTTTACCATCTCAATCAAACTGTTTTTAAAAAAATCTCAGAATCATTGTCAAGTTGAGCCACCTCGTAGCTCACTCTCCAGTGGGTTTCTAAGGCTCTAATGTAAGTTGCAGGGGAGGAAATAGGCTGTCTTTCTCCGGTGGAAGCCACTGGTGTATTCCAGCCACCGGGAAGATATGGCCTCTGGGGAGCAGTGTGCATGACCTTGTGGTTAATGTCACCAAAGCCATTGGACTTCCAAAACCAGACTTTCTTTCAAATTACTTTTTGTGACAGTTGGTAATGGTTTTTGAATGAGAATTGTATTTCAAAGATAACAATATAAAAAAAAAGTTTATGAAGTCTCTCAGATAGTTGTTACTGTTAGGTGCTGTTCACCCAGTGAACAGAAGAGCTGAACCTCGTGCTATGCCGTGTTGTCTTCACCCTCTCTGATTGGCTCAAGCCCATGGTTATCGTCACTGTGTTAATCCATCTTCTTGAGAGGATCTTCCTCTTTCTGACACCCACCCCCTTTCCCAGAGAAATTTTAAGACAGTGGATTTTTGTCATGACTGTACTGATAGCGCCTGAACAGTTTTAAAACCTATAGATACATACTCCAGACCACGGTGACTCTCTGGGGCATGAGATTCTAGACAGAGACCTTGGGTCACTAGGATGTTCATCCATGGTTAAGAACCACTATAGACAAACAGATGCATTTCCTGAACTCTTTCAAAACCTAGAAGTGCTCCTTTCCTGAGTTAACCAGTGTATTTGCCATTAGATGCCTGATGAAAAAAAATACTGCATCACAGAGGTGTCTGTGAATGAAAAATCTCTTAAAAGGTAGATAAATGGAGGTTGTCAGCATTAATAGTATTTTGTTTAAGGTTTGTGCTAGGGATAGGAGTGTATTTTCTAAGGAATAAGAATGTCCTCTGTCAAAATAGGGGGTCTTTTTGGTGTGAGAATGTTGCCTTGGTCATTGCACTTTTTTAACCTGATTTCTTTCCCCTTTGGAAGGGATTTTTTGCCAGGCGGAAGGAGAGATTATACAGTCCAAGTTCAGCTTAGGTGAGTTTGAAGTTTTCTGCTAGTGGTTAATTTTACATTTACTAACTATGTATGCATTGTCTTGCATTTTAAAGTACATAAACATGTTTTACTACACTCTTTCACATAATTTTCTTTTTAATGCAGACTTTGCCTGGCAGAGACAAGCTGTCCACAAGAAGATAACTATCCCAGTAGTCTGTGTATAAAAGTAAATGGGAAGTTGTTTCCTTTGCCTGTAAGTTACTTTTTTTTTTTTAAATCACCATTCTTGCCTGAAGAGTTTAGTATAAGCACGGATGAGACCTAGAAACAATGACAACTCAATAACAATAAAGTCTCAGCCTCTAGATTCAGTAACGTTGTTTATTAGAGGGCTGCAGTGATTCCTTTGAGAAATAACCGATTCGTGGTGTGGAGCAGATGAAAAAGACGCACCTGGAATATTTTTTTTTTGCACCTGGAATATTTGGGGAAGAAAACCAGGAAAGATTATTGGTACCAGACTGTTATAACCTCGTAGCCTGAGGCAGGACTTGAGCACCTGGCTGCGTAGGATGGCGTGTTGAGATGGATGCCTGGGTTGGTTGTTGAGCCTGAGCAACAGGTTGTTGGACGAGCTGGTGAAAGTTAGAGGATGCGTGGTGTGACTGGAAACAGAGATCAAATTCCAGACTGAAGCCGTGATGGACCACAGTCTTGATGGAACGATATTTGAGTGATAACCTCTTCAAACAGTAAAGTGATATATGGGCTTCTATCATCTAAGAGAGAGAAGTTTGGATGAATACAGCCTTTTCCTGGCTTGATTGAGAGCTCTGGATTCTTTAGCTTCTGTTAGTTAAATCTTAAATATACTTAATTGTGATCTGGAGTGTGTTTTGGTCTCCACTGAGGCCTGGAGTAAGTTATTGAATTGATGGATAGAAGGGTATAGACAGCAGAGCCACCGTCAGGAAAATAGTGGAGCTTGTCCTGTTGGAATTGAATCACTGTGATTATAGTGACCCCATCACCAAGTTGACGTCTCAGCAGAGAAGACACCTTTGTGAACTGTTGAGAAGCGGGATGAGGATGTGGTTTAACATCCTGCTGAGCCTGAAGCGTCCTCTGGAGAAAGTGTCTAAGTATCACCTTGAGCAACCAAACAAGTCAAATAACACATTCTAGGACTGGGCTCCGCCACGGCCAACTTAGTCCGATAGAAATGCCTCATGAAGACCCCTTGTGACCTAGGCAGACCTGTGTAGTCAGAGATGTGCTTTCTCTGCATGGTGTAGTTCTGCATGGTATAGTTGTAGAGAGTCCCATTTGTCTCGTATGTATCCTGTGGACTTAGAAACTTGAGAAATATTTGTTTCACGAGTTTTGCAGAGTTTGAGCAATCCTGTACCACTGACTACCTTTTTCTGAAAATGAGGCTGAAGTCAACTAAGATAGTCATCTAGGAATGAAAAGGGAGATTGCCAAGACTGAATAGATACGGTCTGGGAAGAAAGGTGGCATGGCCCCATCCATATTCAAAACTCAGGTGGGACTTTTGCCTCTTAGGTTCCTGATCTTCTAGCAGCAAGATTCTCAGGAGCTGTCTTGTCTGGATGGCACAGAGATCTGAGCTGAGGGAAGAGGCATCCGTGCTTTGAGGATGCCCATGAGGGGCCAATGTGGCAGAAGAAGCCTGGCAAAATGAGATTATGAAATAGCTCTGGCCACTTCTTATGGCCTTTTCATAACTTCTTTGCCCAGAATTTAACTTTAATGCTTATTGCTTTTTAATTCTTCAGTTATCCTTGAAGAAAGATCTAATTCTACAAGTCTTTAGGGTATCTACAGACCCATGCTGAAAACCTGCCCTGAATCATGTAACATGGTGACGATGGGACCTACATCAAATAATATGCAGGGCTCCCATAGCATTTCTATAGAAAACATAATTCTGGATGTGTATAAACACAGCATTATGTTCATGTATAAAGTCTCCATCACCACTATGGATGACTCTGAACTTGTCACTTTTTCATTCCTCTGAAGAGAAAGGAAATCTAGGCAGCTGAACACACTGTTGGCTTGTGTCCTGGGACATGAACTCCTGAGTATTTGTAATAGATTGTACTGTGAACCTACTCACAGCTTCATAAAACAAGTGCTATAGGGGCATTTTGAAGGACTATGCACTTTGGCTGCTCTCTGAAAATCTTTCACTGATACATTCTCGTAAAGTCAACAGTGTATCAGCATTTACCTGTGCTGCCTAGACTGTTGATAACTTGTAGAGGTGGTGTAGTAGTTGAACAGTTTTCAGAAAAAAGAAAATATTTAAAGCTCTTGATGACATGTAGCATGTCATATGCAAAAGCATATACATTGATGTCTAAATGGAAAGTTGTTGAAAAGATTCTTACGTATGTAGAAAATAAGTTCACCATGAGTTAGAATCTGTTCCCTGACAGTTAACAGCCAGTACGTTGATATTTTTCTTTTTCTGTGGTTGTTGTTGTTGTTATGTGCCGTCGAGTCGCCTGTGACTCAGAGCAACTCTTACGTACAGCATAGGGTCTGCTCTGTCCTGTGCCAGTCTTATTGTCTCTGAAACATCTATCCCCGTTAGCCTAGTCGGAGAATCTATTCACCTCATCGAATGTCTTCCTCTCATGCGCTGTCCCTTCACCCTTTCAAGCATGACATCCCTCTCCAAGGACTGATCCAACCTTGGAACATGTCCAGAGTATGTCAGACGAAGCTTCAGAATCCTTGCCTCCACGGAGCAGCCTGGCTTCACCCTCTCCAGAACGAACTTGTTTGTTCTCCTAGTGGTTCATGGTACTCTTCTCCAGCACCACAGCTCAAAGGCATCAATTCTTCTATCATCCCTAGTCATTGCCCAGCTTTCTGATGCATAGCAAGTAATTGCAAAGACCATGGCCTGTATCAGGCGCACCTTAGTCTCCAGACTGACATCATTGTTCTTTGGTACTTTGGAGAGGTCTCTGACAGCAAACTTTCCCAGTGCAATTTATATTTTAATTTCCTGGCTGCTGATAACAAGAGTATTGATAGTGGAGCCACGCAAACTGAAGCTCTTAACAATACCAGTCTCTTCACCATCTATCGTGATGCTGCCAATTGGCCCACTGGTAAGAGTCTTTGTTTTCTTGATTTTGAGCTTCAATCCATATTGAAGGCTGCAGTCCTTGATCAGGTCCTCTTCAGTTTCAGCAAGTAGGGTTGTGTTAGCTACATAACACAGATTGTTGATGAGTCTGCCTCCAATCCTGATGCCACATTTTTCCTCAGTCCAGCCTCCTGGATAATCTGTTCCACATATAGATTGAAAAGACAATGGAGATAGTACACATCCTTGGTGTGCACCCTTCCCAATTTTGAATCATGTAGTGTTCCTTGCTCTGTTCTGTACCTCCTGGTCCAAGTATAAGTTTTGCATAAGCTCAGTCAAGTATTCTGGGATTCCCATTCTCAGAGTCAGCCACAGTTTGTTGTGATCTACACAGTCAAATGCCTTTGCATAGCCAATGAAACACAGACATTCCTCGGGTACTCTCTGCTTACAGCCAAGATCCATATGACATTAACTATAATATCCCTAGTACTGCGGCCTCTTCTAAACCCGGCCTGCACTTCAGGCAGTTACTGTTGATGGACTGTTCCAGTCATTTTTGGATAATCTTCAGCAGAATCTTGTTTGCATATGATATCAGTGATACTGTTCGATTATTTCTACGCTCTTTTGGATCACCTTTCTTTGGAATGGGAACAAATATAGATCTCTTCCAGTTACATGTTCAGATGGCTGTCCTCCAGATTTCTTGACACAACTTGGTGAGCACATCCAGGTCAGTGTCTGTTGAAATATGTCATTCGGTCTGCCCTCAATTCCTGGGGCTTTGTATTTTGCCAATTCTTTCAGAGCAGCTTGAACTTCTTTCTGTGTCACCACAGGCTCTTGCTCATACAATGTTTCATGAAATTCTTCTGTGTCTGTCAGTTCCTTTTGGTACAGTGATTCTGTATACTTTTCTCATCTTTTAATGCTTCCTGGATCATTTAATATTCTGCCCAAAGCATCCTTAATTGCAGCTCCAGGTTTGAATTTGTTTTTCAGTTCCTTCAGCTTAAGAAATGCTGAGTGAGTTCGGCCCTTTTGATTTCTGACTCCAGCTCACAGTCATTGGTTTAAACCCACCTTTTCCATGATACATGATTAAATTACAACCAGTGATATTTTAGGTTCAGTGAAATATACCATGAGTTTTTTTTAATATGTATTATCACTAAGACTTAATTTTCTAAAAAACACTTTTATTTTTGAAAAATCATAATTGAACAACAAAAAATTGACAGTTTAATTGACAATTGGATGCACTTCTAAGTCTGAAATGAATATACTTGCCATTTAGAACAAATAGTGACCACAGCTTGACAGGAGACCAGAAGAACTGGATGATGCTTGACTGCCATTACTAAACAGTTGGATCAAAGATTCAGTACAGAGTCCTGACCAAAAGAGGGGAAAGGCACAAAAGCATTTCAAATTCTCATGGACTCCTAGATTTCGGGAGGCTTGGAAGGTAGATGAAACTCTGAAAACTATTGCCCTGAGATGTCATTCTTAAACCAAAAATATCTCCTAGACTCTCCTTTAAAACAAAGTAGCAATTTAACTTAACTAGTAAAAAAGATCTGTTCTTGAGCATTATACTCTTTTCAGAGTTACCTTTTGTTGCATACCATTGAGTCAGAACTGACTCATAGCTGACCTACTAGTGGGTTTTCAGAGGCAGTAAATTATATGGGAGAAAATTGCCCATTCTTCTCCCACAGAGCAGCTGGTGGATTCGAACTGTATGCGTTCAGGTTGACAGTGCAGCTTCTTGCCATAGGCCACCAGAAATCCCTTAAGAACTATCTGTATGATAGCAATTGACAATAACAACTTGAAATATAAGCTAGCAGCTTTAAGGGTCAGTGAGTTTTGTGTTAATGAGGAAGGAACAACTCTGAAAAGGAGGAGGGGACTGTTTGCATAACTCAGAATAATTAGTATCACTGATTTGGGATGTGGAGGAACAGTTGAATTGGTAAATGTAAATGATTTTGCTTTGTATAATCTCAACAACAAAGACTTGTCAAAAAGAAACTCAAATACTTTGTGTCTAGAAAAAAGTAGAATAAACTATAATAGGATATACAGCAAGCTAATTTCATGCTGATTGAAATACTGACCATTCTGTTCTTAGAAGGCAGTGATTGGGAAGCTTTTTTATTAGTTTATATAAGAAAGCTCTGAAGTTTAGTCATTTGTTCTGTTCTTATGTTTATGTTTATTTTAAGTTTATTCTCCCTCTGTCCAGCTCCTATCAAATGTAATATTTGAATAAATATATTTGAATATATATAAATACTAGTTCCTGAAAGGTTTTTTAATTCCCATAGTTTATTCTCCCTCTTCCCTACCCAAATAAAGTATTTGAAAGCCTGTAAATCATAGCTCCTGTGAGGTTTTTACCCATTAAACCTGGTTTCCTTTTTAAAAGGAAAAAGATTGATAGCCAATATGGCAAGATGTCAGTAACATTGACACAGGTGATGGAACATGAATTTTTTTTCCCTCCGTACTTTTCCAAGTTTGTGATATATTTTATAACCTTTTATAAAGACCCTTTTTCCTTTAAAATGAGAACTGTGCCACTTCCAGAATAAAAGAATAGATTCTCTGTGTGTCCAGGAGAAAATATTTCACATCCTGCAGAGAAGTTAACACTATTTTTCTTTCTGTGATTACAGGGCTATGCACCACCACCTAAAAATGGGATTGAACAGAAGCGCCCAGGACGTCCCTTGAACATTACATCTTTAGTTAGGTTATCCTCTGCTGTGCCAAACCAGATTTCCATTTCGTGGGCGTTAGAAATTGGAAAGGTAAAGGTTCTCTGCTTTGAGTAGAATGAGTGTAACCTCGATGGGAGTTGATTTATTTTAGTTAGTTTTAGATGATTAAATCTAACTCGTTCCATTTTCTGATGGGATCTGTGAAAAGCAATGCGTTTTCAATTCAAGGATAAAGTTTTAGAGTTTATTAAGGGGAAACACAGCAAGATTTCTTGGGTGTTAGGTTTTATTTCTCTGAAAGAATGTTTATATATTTATATATTTCTTAAGGTAATAGGTTAATTGCATTGTATAAGTAATATTTTAAGAACTAGGAACTGTGGGTGGTAGTATGATTTTCTAAAAGGGATACTCTATCAGACATTAGCGGGAAATGTCTAAATGTACTCAGAGTTTGGTTAGAAACAATTTGTCTAGTTTTTAGGTAACAAATGGACATCTTATAAAAATATTTGCTTATTTTGTTTCCTCTACATCTAGTTTTGAAGTATTTTCTACTGATTCTGAGTCTCATATTATTGCTTTGCATCAATTGAGAGATACTGATCAATACCACAGGGAATTTTCATTTTGCAGTTGTTTATTTTAGAAATGTAACAAAGAGGAAAAAATATTTTTGTTAAATATGGAACTTTAGCTGTAATATTTCTATTTTTTGGCAATCAGATACAGTCTTTGTGGGTGGAGAGAGTGATGCATGGATAGTTAAATGATGAGATAAATTGTTGCAGGATTTAGGTAAGCTTTTCCCTTGTCCCCTCTTAGCTGTATTAATAGTGAAACTGAAGAGCTGTGCCATTGGCGGTCTTGACTTATCTTTTTGTCATCCTTTCATTGTCTTATGTGCAACAGTAACTATTGGTTTGTTAGACTTTTTCTTAAAGAAAATCCGACTTCATTTGCATGTTTAGCTTAAGCCCAGGTAGCAAGTGCTTTCTTTTGCCACAGTTAAAATTTTAGACCTCTGGATTTCAATTATTCATTCAGATCCAATCTTACCCTTTCTCCTTGAGTGATTCTCCCTCACAGGGACCCTATTGAACACGGAAGAGTTACTCCATGGGATTTGAAAAGATATAGTCTTTATGGAAACAGAATTTCCTGCATTACTCCCAGGAACAACGAATCATGCCTAACAAGTGGTCATCAGAGCTCCTTGTTAATTCAGACCAGTAGTGTTTATTCTTTGTTTCTGTAGTGGGACTAATTTTTCATGTGAAATACTTTATAAAAGCTTCATTTTATGATCATTATCATCTCATTGCCATCAAGTAGAGACTATTTTAACAGGACCGTCTGTTGGGTTTCTGAGAGTGGAAGTTGCATGGGAAGAGATTGCCCGTATTTCTCCCTGAAAGCCCCTGATGATTTCCAACTCTCTGGTGGGTTGTGTTGGTTTTAAATCCACCAGAGTGACACGACCTTTGGTTAGCAGCACAGCTCCCTCCATTACATATTGTAGTTGACTGCCGTCATTGAGAACAACTCATAATGACTTTATATGAACAAAAGACCTAATGCCTTTCTATGACTATCATTGTTTATCCAAGTTCATAGTTTCCATAGGCATGTGGTTTAGGAAGTGGATGCCACTCCTGCTTCCAAACCTGTTTTACAACTGTGAGCTCCACCAAACACTGTCCACATTGGGAAACCATTATGGCAAATACACTAAAATGATTTGGCATGGATGGTACCATGGGGTTGCTAATGGTTTAGGTAAACTGGAGACACAGTTTGAAACCGTTGACCCCATGTGAGCTTTTTTTAAATAATATTTTATCTGTTGCTAAACACTGTGACACTGATGTGCCAAATGTGATAATGGTTACCCATGGTGGACAGTGTTTGGTGGAGCTTCCTGATTAAAACAAGCGTGGAAGCAGGAGTGGCATCCACTTCTGAAATGTCTTGCCGCCAGGAACTCTGTGAACAGTGCTCAGATCTTTTCTTCATAAGGTTGCTGTGAGTCATCTACGACTCGACGGCACCTAAAAATAACAACATCTTTTTAAATTATTCAGAAATACTTTTAATATGATTAAGCTTTTATCTTCACTAAAGTAGCCAAGTTGACTTTGTCCCCTTCCATAATTTGTGGAAATTATTTTGAGTGTTATTTTTAGAAACCAGGGTTTCTTAACATAATTATTATGTAAATAAACTATATTGTCTCTCATTTTTAATACAGATTATTTTTCTTTGCAGAATTACTCCATGTCTGTCTATCTTGTACGACAGCTCACATCAGCCATGCTGTTACAGAGGTTAAAAATGAAAGGTATTAGAAATCCTGATCATTCCAGAGCACTAAGTAAGTAATAAATTGTATGTCCACGCATATAAGATGCTTTCATGGGGAAGAGAAGCAAAGCACAAAACACACATAAATACAGGATAAATTTGGGAGCAGTTACTACACACCTGGATTGGATTTTATGTTAAAACATACTCATAAAAAGACTAGAACTTTATAAATTGTAAAACCGTCTTCTCAACATTCTAGAGAGGATCAGTTTTAAATCTTTACTAACCTGCTCTTTGGCCTTTTTAGTGAAAACTCTTACTTAGGGAGACATCATTGTCACAGTAATTTTGATGGCATGTGTTGAGAATATGAACTTGAGTTTTCTAAACCTCCATTGTGAAACAGATTGTGCACTTAAAAACTCCAGAAGAGCTTTGTTTGTACAAGAAGAACTTGCACAAGGTATTCTGATACTCATCAACATTATTTGCCTTCTGAGCTGTTGAGATTTGCTTTCAAAATTTTTAATCATAGGCAGAGGGGAAAAGTCCTCAGTAACCCAAACTTTAAATAATTCAGCTCAATTATTGAATTTAATTGAAGAAGATACTATTCTGGTTAAAGAATCTTCTTCTCCCAAATAGCTCTCATACCACTGAATTAACTAGAAAAGAGATGAGGTTCTAAGTTGAAAAGAGTGCCATATGAAGCTGCTGAAATGGTATGTGCATTGTCTCACCGTCATCTAGTTGGTACTGACTTACCCTTCATTGAAGGTTACCCTTCATTGGGTGTTTAGTGGAGGCTGTAATTTGCACAAGAGGAGATAGCTTGTCTTTCTCCTAGGGAGCCGCTGGTGAACCATGGCTTTTGAGTTACTAGTTCCTCATCAGAGTTCCCTATCTGTATACAGTGGGTGTTTTATGTAGATGGTATATATATGGCTTATAAAAACTGTAGACATTACCAGGTAAATAAATCACAGACCTTATGACATCTATAGTAGTTTTCAGTTGCCAAAGGAAGTGAAAGAATATTTTAATTTTAATCTTACAAATTGAGCAATTGTTGTCAATTGGTGCTACCTAATAAAAACATTAATAGTTCCGTGTTAAACAGTGAAGCTCAGAGCGCTGTTGAATCTACATTCCTTCATTAGTTGTTCTTTTATTCTCAGGTCTTCATTGGCTTTATTTCAAGATTTTTTTCTTATTTGCAGTTTTAATTTTAAAATGGAAATTTAGAAATTCAGCTAAGTATTTAAGAGTTTATAAGCTTATAGTTTTTCACTTGTACTGGAAGTATCTTTGTTTTTCAGTATTTTTTTTTTCTTTTAGGGGTAGTTTGTACATCAGCTTAAAGTGTTAAACACATTTTAAACTATTGTTACGTGCCATGAAGTTGGAACTAATAGCTGGCCCTCTAATGGGTTTTCAGAGGCACTTAATCACCTGGGAGGATATTGCCCATGTAGTTCTGTAATTCTTTTCCTTTATGAGCATGGATTTTAAAAAATGTTTTACTATTCTTTTCCCTTTCTTTTTAAAGTTAAAGAAAAACTTACTGCAGATCCTGATAGTGAAATTGCTACAACTAGTCTTCGAGTATCCTTGATGTGTCCTGTAAGTAAAGCTGGAGAGCTTAATGTCTAATACAGTTTCCTGTAAAATTATTTTAACGTTGAATAATACACCTGTGGAACAATGACTAAACAAGCACAGACTTTAATGGAATTGTATTGAAGAGTTTAAGTGTTCAGAAACTATCTGGCATAGTTATTACTATAGACACCCCGAAGCTAATAATGTTACTTTATTAAAATGAACTCCTTTTATCAGGTTATATATATGGTATTGATAAGTAACAATATTACTAGACCCTAATAAATCAATACCTACTCTGATCTTGGTTTAATAACTTCTGCCATTTAGAGAATATGTAGGATATCTTAATCTGTTTGCAATACAGTTTTAAATTTACATTCATTTTGTTTTTTATGTCCTTACATAAACTTCTTAGGAGGGAATCAGTAACCAGGATTCTCCTTTGTGCTTTGCAATAAATGATTGTGATTATAAATGGGGAAATACTGAAGCCTTTCTAAGAGATTGTGAGAAATTTTTTTAAATCTAATTTGAGAGAGAAACTCATGTGGAAATAAAGCAGATTGTATTTATCAGATAAAATTATGTTATAGAAAAAAAGAGGGGAAAGATCAGAATAGTGGGCAAAGCCTTTAAAACTAGTGTTGGTACATTATGAATGAAGGATAATGTGCAAACACAGTGTATACAAACTTGTAAGCAATTCGGTCAAAAACAAGAAACATAACTAGTGTTGTGGGAGGCTTTCCAGTGGAACGGAAAGCTGTTGAAATCAGGAATTTATAAAATAGTTTTGAGGGCATTTGATGACCAGCTAGCTATTCCTGTGAGAAATGGAAACTTTTTAAAATAGAGAATTGTTTTACCAAGAGGAAGGATTCATTTGTTGCATTCCTTCTATGTACATTTTACTTTACTCTTTTAACTTAACTTTTGTGGAGAAATTGTTCCTTTTTGCAGATTGATGACACAGAAAAGAAAATATATTGACTGACATAGAACACATGGTCAGCTTGTAGAACAAGAACATGTTAGTTTTTACGTCTATCCTAGTTTGTTCTAGCCCATGTTATGAAATTGTACTAAACTACAAATATCTTGATTGTAAGCCCACATCTCTCATTGTTCTTTAAAGTGACATATGCAGGGTTTTATTTTCCCTTCCAGAGGCATTATTTTTCATAATCACTTAAAAAAAGAGAGAAAAACCCCATATAACTTAATCAGCTTGGAATAGAGTTGTATAAAGTCAATTACAAAGGAGTTGGAACCTGTGGTTATCAAGCCCAGAGAGAAGGTATGAAGTCCAGGTCTCGTTTATTAACACCTTAGGTGCGTTGATGGTAAAGTAGAAGTCCTAAGGGCAAGTATTTGACCTGGGGTATCCACTGCTCATCTAGGCTTGAGTTCTTTTTGAGTGTCTTCCAATGATATTTATTTCTAAAATTAAGGTTGTTAATACTTTGAAGCCCATGATATTACTGTTCTTTTAATCAGAAGTAGTTGAATATTGGCACTTTTCTATGACTTAACACCTAGTACAGGTATATTTTAGAGATAAGAGATTTCCTTCCAGACCATCAGCATTAAAGTGAATACGGAAGTACCATAGGTCCGTGAATTTTTTGTTTTGTTTCAAGTGCATATAAAAGTTATTTTTTAATAATAGTGTGCCTGCAATAGCATTATGAAACTGGTTGAAATATTTCAAGAATTTGCCAAAATGGGACACAGACATGAAGTGAGCACAAAAAATGATGCTGCTTGATGCAGGTTTGCCAGAAGCCCCTGGTGTGTAAAAATTCTCAGAATGTGCACAGCACAATAGAACAAGGTGTGCCTGTAATAATACTGAGATGTTATTTGTCTTCTTTACTCTTATTCTCTCAGGAGTGTACAGTGATGTTTAACAGGGACTGCCTGCCAGGTGATGAAATCATTGTTCTTGCTGGCTAATGGAATGTGTTCTTGTGTATTCTTGTGTTTTAAAAATGTCTGTTTTTTTAAAAAAAAAATTCCTAGTATAGTAAATATTGAATTATTGATAAATATAACCCTTAGACATAAAAACTCCAAGATTCTCAATCATTAAGGGTGTAAAGGAGTTGTAGTACCAAAGTCTGAGCGTCAGGGGCCCATCAAAACAGCAGTGGCCTGAGTAGTTTTGTGAATTACACTTTACACGTTGACACAAATGACGGCAAAATGTGTTTCTAAGCATGGTCGTCAATTTAAAAGTGTGCGGGAGCATGTGAAAGGACAAAAAATAGGAGAATTGACAAATAAGATCAAATAAAATTGACAAATATGATGTTGTTGTGTACTGTTGAGTCAGAGCTGACCCACAGTTGACCCTCTGCAGATTTTCAGAGGCAGTTAATCGTGAGGAGATTGCCCCTTCTCCTGGGGCACAGCTGGTGGCCTCAGTGTGCCTTCCGGATTGCAGTACAGCTTCTTGCCACTAGGCCACATGAGCGCCCTGAATAAGAACTACTTCCTAGAAAATTATGCACATACAACAGAAGCATAGAAAATGAAAAATTTTTGTTACTAGGGTCTATTATTCATAGTATTGTTACTAATAGTATAATGTATCTCTATAGATTTAGCTCATATTCATGATTACATGTTTATTGAAAAAAATAATTTATATTATTCTGTAGCTCACTTTCCCCATTAATGATGTAAATTAAATACCTTAATGGATGTAGCTCCATCTTTAAGCATTGCAGACATTTTGCTGCATGGGCATGATGTAATCTATTCAACTTTTTTTAGTTATTATTTGAGTTGTTTGCAGGTACTGATCGTATAAATAAACTCATTTATATTGCTAGGAAAATTCCTAAAAGAAACCTCACTCTATTTGAAAATAATAATAATAATAATAATAATACAAAGAATACTTCCTCCTAGGAATAATATGATTTTAGGAAATCTTAAGGTTATTTACAGATTGTTATTGATAATTAAAAGGAGAGAAAAATCCTTGTGATTATCTCATTAAATGCTCAATATATTAACGTTTTTGTTTTCTAACAATAAAAACTCAACTGTAAAAGGTGAATGATACAAACAGAAAACAGGCACATTTTTAATGTTTTATTATAAAGCTTAGGGACATTTCATGAAAGAGAAGTTGGTTTGAATTTGTTAGAGCTCCACACTTTAGCAAATAGTGTTTGATTGAACATGTTTGGCCTTCTTGTAGTGTACCTTCCAAGAGCTACTGACTCAGCTGACCCTCTAGCAGGTTTTCAGAGGCGGTACATTTCAAAAGAGATTGCCCATCCTACAAGGAGCTGCTGCTTAATTCATCTGCAGTGCAGCTTCTTCTCATTAGACCACTCGAGCTCTTGATAGTCTTAGGACTTACTTAAAAATAAAACTAGGGGGAAAAAAAACTATGAATCCCAGTCCTGGGATTATAAGGTTTATTGTCATGTGGGTAGTATGGAATTTATTTGAAAGCTCTTAGCAACAACATATGATTTGCGAAAACTGTAGGGATACTTTGTTTTTAAAAGAAAGGATAATAAAGAAGCTGCAGAAAAGATTTGTTTTCTTTTTTACGGTTCTAAATAATGAGCTCTGTTGTGCTTCATATTTGTATATATCACTGTAACATCAGCTTTACAGTGTGAGAGTTACTTTACAGTGTTGGTTTAAGGAGCTCTGGTAGTCTAGTGGCAAGAAGCTGTGTTGCAGTCATGAAGGCATGCGGTTCAAATCCACCAGCCGATCCATGTGAGAAGGATTTGCAGTCTCCTCCTGGGCAATTAACTGCCTCTGAAAACCTGGTGGAGGGTTAGCTATGGGTTGGTTCTGACTCAACAATACACAACAACAATGTTGATTTAGCTAAATTACTTTAAGTTCTAAAGCAACAAAATGTTAAATTTAGAAATTACAAATAAACCAAAATAAATCATATTGCCCACATTGATTTCACGGTATAGAAGATAGTTTGTCACTATTACAAAAAACAAAAATGTGCCTTGCCTTTGCTCCAAAAACTGCTTTCAGAAATTCCTATATAGATAGTTAAAATTTCTATGTTCATCACTAGGATACCAGTTAAATAAATTGATATTGTCATAGAATGATAGCTTTTTTTTTAATGATAGCTTTTTATTTACTGATAAAAGTGAAATAGTCACCAAATATATTATGTCACAGAATATAATTTTTAAAAAGATTATACTTGTGTATGTGTGACTGTCTCTCAGGGGTCATACAACAGGTGGATAACAGTGGTTCTCTCTAGGCAGGGAAAGCTGGCCAGGCAAAGAGTTGAGAATGGACATGATTTCACTATATATGTGTGTTTCTACATAGTGGATCTCTGTTAGTGGATTTATATACTGATTATTTTGAAAGAGAGAAATGATATTTTAAATATATTGTACTTAACAAGTAGAAACAACACATACAGTGATCATGGTGGGAATGCAGTCTGATTTGTATTTCTTTTCCTTGTGATTGTCAGTGGCTGTGTTCATTTTGAAGCTTTGGTCTCCCTTCTGAAATAGTTTTTCATGTTGTGTTCTCTTTCCTGTAGTTAGGAAAAATGAGACTGACAATCCCATGCCGTGCAGTGACTTGTACACATCTGCAGTGTTTTGATGCAGCTCTCTATCTGCAAATGAATGAGAAGAAGCCCACCTGGATTTGTCCTGTGTGTGACAAAAAGGCTGCCTATGAAAGTCTAATATTAGATGGGTAAATATCCCTTTTAACAGTTGGTATTAATGTTGCATAATTTAGCCTCATGTCCATTTTCCAGCATAAAGTGCCCGTGTTCCAGTGTTTATGTCTTCCCTACTTTCTTAATCGTTGTGAATCCTGTTTTTGTTTTCATTTTATCATAGTCAAATACATGTAACAAAATTTGCAATTTTGACCATACAATTTGTTGGCAGTTAAGTATGTTTGTGTTGTGTCACAATCAACCTCTCTGTTTCCAACAGAAATGTTTACCTAAGCAACAACTTCCCATTGCTCTCTATCCCCTACCCCTGGTAATGACTAAGTCATATCTTTATGAATTTGCCTATTCTAAGTATATTATGTGTGTATAAACAGAACCATCCAATATTTGCCCTTTTGTGTTTCATTTTACTTAAAAGTGTTTTAAAGATTTATATTGTAACATGTATTAGAACATCAGTCTTACTTTTCAATGGTAGGTGGTGCTTCTTTTAAACTTTTTCCTTGTGATTTGCGTGAACATTTAGAGCAGACCAATTTTCCATTCAATCATTGGTGCATATTTTGTTTTATAACATTAATTACCAAACACCACATTGTAACAGCACTCTTCACTCTTCTTCCTATGATCTTCTTTTCATTCATCTCTGTGCTACCCCTTCCTGCCTTCAGAGCATTATTCCTGGTCACATCCTGCATTTTTGATCTTGTTTGATCGATTCTTCTAAGGAGTGAGTACCTCCCTGATGTTAACTTTTCATACTATAGGCTTGTGTATTGTTTGGCTGTAAATTGTGCCATAGACGTGAAAATTGCTCCAGTCTGGAAGAATGTCTTCAAAACCAGTCTCAGGGTTTCCATCAGACCTGGGAGCCCTGTGGCTTAGTTTAGTGGTAAAGGAGTATGCTGCCAACCCAAAGGCATGCGTTTCAAATCCCCAGTTTTTTCACTGGAGAAAGATGGGCAGTCTTCTCTTGTATGATTTACAACTTCTGAAAACCTGCTGGTGGATCAGCTATAAGTCAGTTTTGACTTGATTTAACATAACAACATAATAACTAGCAAGCCTACCTGCTCTTTTATCTTTAGAATATGCTTTGAGGGAAAAGGTATACTACTCACTCACTGCCTTCTAGTCAGAACCAACTCATAACTGTCCCTCCAGTGTGTTTCCTGAGATTATAAATCAGAGGATGAGAACAGATAGCCCATCTTACTAGAACAGAGTGGCTGGTGGATTTGAACTGCTTGCCATTGGGTTGACATCACAATTCCCTACCTCAGAGACATCAGAGTTAGAGTTCCCTAACGAAAGTGATGATGTTATTGATTGCCGTCAAGTTGAGCACGATTCATAGCGACCCAGTGAACAAAAGACCTGAAGCCTTTCTGTAACTACCATTGTTTCTCAAAATTCATAGAGTTAGTTTCCAGAGGCAAGTTGCTTAGGAAGTGAATGCCACTAGATAAAATCTCATTATACAGTGGATAATTTTGCAACTTGAACTCATCTCTAAATTCTTTTAATTATTAAGCATTATTTGTTACGTGTGTCAGAATTTGGGAAAATGTTATAACCTAATTATTAATAAGTAGGTTGTCCAATTTCTTCAAATCACACATTTTAAAACTTAAATGTGTAAAATATGCTGCATTGTAAGAATTTTGAACTGCAGTTAGTATAAAGATTAAAATAAAAATAATCTATCTCTCCTATAATGATGGCTTAGTTTTAAATGTATTAGAAACATTCAAGTCATGCTGTACATAATGATTTGTGGCTTCTTACTTAGCATATGGTGAAAAATATACTAGGTTTCTAAGAATATTTGTCCACCCTCCACTCCTTCCTTTGTTATTTTTTAGAGTTTATTATAAACATGAGGAGCAGGACAGTGAAGAATAAATACAGACTTTCCACTATAAACTTATGATATGTTGGATTTCTACCTGGGAATGGAGCAGATGGAACATGAGGGTACTAGTGACTGAGTCTGTCTTCTGTCTACTTCATAAAGGAGAAATGTCCCCATCAGTAATATCCATAGCAAATACATAGCTTCTTGGTCAGATCTGCCAGCACCCATGATCCTGCACCTTTTTTTACCGCTCATTTGAGTCTGATATTTGTTGTTGACTCCCAGACTTTACTCACATTTTTGGTACCAAGAATGGAATTTATTAGGGAAATAAGTTAAAGTGGAAGAGGAATATCTCGCAATTTAAAGTCTCGGTTTAGTCCAGCAGTTCCAACTCAGATTTAACAGCAAAACACAGTTCCTTAATTAGTAAACATTCTAGTTCATTTCAGTAGCACAAATCCAAATCATCTAGCAAGGTTTGCCTCAAAGTCAGCTTCTCCTTAATTACCTGGCAAGCACAGCAAAACTTTTAACTGTAGCCTTTATCCTAGGGATCCTCTGGTTACACCTTGCCACAGTTTTTCCATAGCAATGCTAGTCTCTCTACCACCACCATCAGGGTCTTACTCTTAACAGGGTCTTGCTCCTGTCTCCCTCAGATCTTGCTGCTCAATGTGGAAGCACTCTTTGTCTTATCTTACTATCATAGCTATTGACACAAGACCATGTGTCTACAGTTAAGGTAGCTGGAAACCAGAAGGGAATAATGTCTAGAAAATCCAACTTTTAAACTAACACTATGCTACCTTAGTAATTTTTTTTTTAAATTTTTATTCTATTATTTTTACGTGTACTATCAAATCAGATCTGACTGGTACAGGAGGAGATTGCCCCCTCCTTCTCCTGCAGAGCATCTGGTGGATTTGAACCGCGTACCTCTGGGATTGCAGTGCAGCATCTTGCCACTAGGCCACCAGAGCTCCCAACCTTAGTAATTTTTTTTAAAAATTCTTGTTTTGAAGTACCTTGAAGCTAACAGAAGTTATAGCAGTAGCACAAAGAGCTGCTTCTGTAATTTTGACTCACATGCACCAGTTGGTAACATTTTGCTGCATTTATTTCTATCATATTCTCTCTCAACCTGTGTATCTTAATATATGTTTTTAAGAATGTCTGTGTGAAGATTACTAATTTTTTTCTCCCCAGAATTCACTTGAACTCTTTGTAATTCAGTTAAACATGTCATGTCACTTTCCCTTTATTTTATGATATATTTCATAAATATTTAGTATTCCATGTTTTTATTTTATCACTAATCATGGAAACAGTTTTCCTCATTTCCTATTCTTATTTTGTCTTGTAATGTGAACATTTTTGAAGCTTTCTATGTACATGGATTTTTTTTCTTCTTTAACATAAGATCTTAGTAGAAATTATGATTAAAAAATAATATATACTTTTCAGGCTTTTAATATTTATTATTCCAATGCCTCCCCAATAGTAAACTATTTTATTCTTAAGGCAAATTATTTTACTTTTTCCAACAGTATACTTTAAGTGTGTTTACCAGTTTCCTAGTTAAAAAGCTATCTCAAAGGTTTAAATTTTATTTTTTTGTTTTAATGTTATCATTGTTATTAAATGTCATCTAATCTGTTTGTTAGGGGTTTTCTGTTATATTGGTTTTCAGTGTTATTTCTTGCATTATAAGAATTATTTCACATTTCTTCACACATATATTTGTCATTTTATTTTCCCAGAATTACTTCTTAGTTTTTCACATTTTCTGTGAGGATGTTTGTCTTTTTTTTTTTTTACTGTTCTAAATGGTCATTGTATACTAAAGACACTACATTCTCTGTAAACATTTGTCAGATATCTTTTCCCCAGCATATTTGCCTTTGAATTTTATTTATAATTTCTTTTTCCATTTAGAATTTTTACATTTTTATTTCATCAAATAGCTGACTTTTTCTTTAGCATTTCTGTCTTTTATTTATTTAGAAAGTTTAGAAATTTTATAGATGCGTTCACTTGCTTGTTGTAAAGATTTTAAACAAATCTTTTCATTAATTCATTCAAATTGGTATTTACTGTACCACATATTGGATCTTCATGGTGAACCAAAACATTTCTAATGTGAGAGACAGTAAATACATCTATCTTGTGAAGTTTCTGAAGGTAAAGAATAGAGAAAAAGTGTTTCTATATAAGAAGAATTGGGGCTGACAAAAACATTGAGGATATGAGAAAGGCATTAAGATAGGGTTCTTATAAACCTGTAGTTTTTGTATATGCCATTGAGTCAGAACCTGTGCATACCTGAATCTCCATTGGGTTTTTAGGGATTGTAAATTGCAAAGAGGAAGATTGTCCATCTTTTTGCTGCAAAGCAGTTGGTGGATTTGAACCCACATGCCTTTGGGTTGGCAGAGCCAACTCGTCGCCCACTAGGGTACCAAAACCTACTTATCCTAGGTCAGCATTTACTCATTTTATTAATCTCTCCCATGGAGAGATTATATTTGATCATATAATAAATTCTTATATATATCCCAAGAAACTTCTGTAGTTTTGCTTTTTTTGATCTTAGTGGTGTTTTGCTTTTTTGATCTTAGTGGGCCAGTAGAAAACTAATTATTGGATTTAGATCTCTGAGGTCACTCTTTTTCAGAGTTTTCTTGGCCTAGTATCAGTTTTGCCATACTCACTTGTATAGAAATATTCTCAAATTATGCAAATCAATCCTGTTTGAATTTTGATAGGGATTTTATTGAATTCTTGCATCACAGTCATAATCATGTGAATATCTCAGAGATAATGTGTTTCTGTTTATGTTATTTTTATGTGAATATGGGTTATTAGTGGTAATAATTTCTAAAGACTGCCAAAGATTTTGGTTTTCTTCAGTTGTTTTGCTTAATGATTTTTATTTTCCAAATCAAATCATTTTGTATTACTTTATTTGCATTAGTATTATAACTGAATTAAATTTCTGTTATTAATTTAGGCTATAAAGTGATCTAACATTTGGTTTGTCACATACTAGGCTTAGATTGAGTAGTGTGATAATAGAGCTGTCAAGAGTTCCTATTTTTCACATCTTCTTCTACCTCCGTGAACTTTCTTTAGTGGTCTAAACTTTTCAATTCTTTTTATGTGAGGACTTTTCTATTTTTTTAACTGGTTTGCATAGGATAATTCGTTTTGTTTTCTTTAAGTGTTGGTTTATAGTTAGTTCTTCTTGTTAATCCCAGCTAGGAAACTCTAGGTGTCTCTCTTTAACCACTGAGGGGTTTTTTTTTAAATTTTTATTTTATTTTATTATTTTTGTGTGAGTGTACCGTCAAATCAGATCTGACTGGTACAGGAGGAGATTGTCCCTCCTTCTCCAGCAGAGCATCTGGTGGATTCCAACCACACGCATCTGGGATTGTAGTTGACCTCCTTTACCACTAGGCCACCAGAGCTCCCCTGAGAGTTTTTTAAAAATGATATTCAGTAAGTCACTTAAATTTCTTGTTGCCCATTAAAAATGTACTTTGTTATTTTTACCTTTGAACAGAGCCACTCATTGCATTTATGTCTTTTTTGATTTATAGGCTTTTTATGGAAATTCTCAATGACTGCTCTGATGTGGATGAAATAAAATTTCAAGAAGATGGTTCTTGGTGTCCAATGAGGCCAAAGAAAGAAGCTATGAAAGTATCCAGCCAACCATGTACAAAAATAGAAAGTATGTACAGAAAGACAGCAGAGAACAAAGCCCTGAGACATGTGTAGTGTTACTTTATCATTAGCCTTAACCACTAGAACTACATTTGGCACTCAGTTTTTTAACTCTGTTCATCTATTCATCATCAGTTGTTGTTGTTACGTGCCGTCAAATCGCTTGTGACTCATAGTGACCCTCTGTACAACAGCCCTAAACCCTGCTCTATCTTGTGCCAGTCTCACCATCTCTGATACACCCATCCTGATTACCCCAGTCACTGAAACAATCCGCCTCTTAGAGGGTCTTGCCCTCCTGCGCTGTCTCTCCACCCTCCCAAGCATGATGTCCCTCTTCAAGGTCCCTCCTTAAAACATATCTAAAGTATATCAGACGAAGCCCCAGAATTCTTGCCTCCAAGGAGCAGCAGCCTGGTTTAACCCTCTGCAGGATGAATCTATTTGTTTTCTTAGCAGTCCATGGTACACTCAATACTCGTCTCCAGCAATACAGCTCAACGACATCAATTCTTCTTCTATCCTCCTTAGTCATTGTCCAACTCTCTGATGCATAACAAGTGATAGCAAAGACCATGTCCTTTATCAGACGCACCTTAGTCTCCAGAGAGACACCATTGCTCTTCAGTACTTTGGAGAGGTCCCTAACAGCAGACTTTCCCATCACAATATGTCTTTTAATTTCCTGGCTGCTGGTGCCAAGAGTGTTGACTGTTGAGCCAAGCAAACTATGTAATTTTTCCAAGATGAATTGTATTCTTATTTAATATGCTAAAATTCATACTGTTTTAAAATCAGTCTTTGTATGTAAAGTAAATGAAATCATCACTTAAAATTATTTCAACAAATTATTGTTGCTGTAAAATGAAAAGTTATAGGTGATATTTCAGTGGGTGTTTTTCAGAATTATTTTTAGAGTTCTTGTTTGGGTACAGTTTTGGGGGACCCACATCTGGTAGTGTGGTTTGAGGCCTCTTCTTGTAATGGAATTGTAGGGCGGTTGCAGGTTATTTGCTACAATATGAAATTGAACATATTTCTCTCTGTGAAGGGATTCTTTGTGTGAAGGGATTTGATTATTACATTCATTTTGTACAGGATGGACTTTAAGCTGGTTCGTATTGATTTAGTTATGACTGTCATAGTAAAATTGGGACAGACTCAGATTTATAAAATGTCAATGTGCTGGAACTGGAACCATTGTGTATCAGAATCCTGAAATGGGACACTCGGATGGAGCACCTTTCAGGTGCATCTGGTGGGAGATTGGATTATTGCTGGGCACTGTTGCCATAGACTGTACCCGTTGACATTTCGTTGCTATTAGTTGAAACCTATAGATAAACTTAGTTTTTTTATCTAGTATAATCTACTAACAACATTTCAATTTTGTTCTGACTGTATTTGAAGTTTAATAAACAATGTAATGAATAATAGGGATTCAGAGTGATGAAAGAAAAACTTGATTTTTTTATGACAATTATTAAGTGTCCCCCTGTTATAGTTGTTAACAGAAGACTCAGGCAAACTCTGTTTCCTTTATTTTTGAGAAAAACTTCATGATTGGGAGGATTAGTAATTGTTGCTTTTCCATTGTCCAGCATTCATTTTGTACTAATAGATTATAGTATATTCTAATATAGCCCTTGCTGCAAGAGAGTTGACTCATGAATTGTGAGACTGCCATAGTGCGCAGAAAGGAGCGCCATGGTGATTAGTAGATGATTGGTAAGAAAAATATGCCTAAAGATTTTAGCTTTGAAGTTTGGATGTTTTTTAAATCCAAGTCCAGGTTTTTATGAAGTTGTGGCTTTTGGTGAATAGTCTGTACATTGTTTAATGTGAACCTTGATATTTCCTTTTTCCTTTCCCTACATGTAGCGTCAAGTGTACTCACTAAGCCATGAAAGTATCCAGCCAACCATGTACAAAAATAGAAACGTCAAGTGTTCTCACTAAGCCTTGTTCAGTGACTGTAGCCAACGATGTGAGCAAAAAGAAAGTGGATGTTATTGACCTCACAGTAGAAAGCTCTTCTGATGAGGAAGAACCGCCCGCCAAAAGGAAATGCATCTTCATGTCAGAAGCGCAGAGCAGCCCAACCAAAGGGTTTGTTACCTTCTAGTTCATTATTGATCCTTAACACATGCAGCTGACTCTTCTTTGGATAGATTTGTAAATTCCTCCTTGAAACCTCACATAGTCCATAGAAGAGTATCATTATTTTAATTGGATTTTCAAGTAAGCATAATGTTTCCAGGAAATTTGATGGAAAAAATAATTTCATCTTTGAGATGTGAGAGTTTGACATTATTCCCTCATGTCTAAGTATTTACTTCATATTTGAATGTTTATCATTTTTTGGAACCCATTTGTAAGGAGAAAATTTGGCATCTTAGACAAATGTGAAGAAATCTAGTGTAATGGAGTAGGGAATTTAGCAGGTGTAGAATCCAATTCCGGCAAAGCACTTAGGCATTCTGTGATTTTGGATGAGATATTTAACTTGTTTGAGGACCCTGTTTTTCACTTCTGTAAACTGAGGTAAAATAATACCCACCATCTAGGATTATTGTCAGATTTCAGTGAGATCATGAAGGACCTTGGTCTCCATGTCTCAGCATGGTAGTTGCACAGTAAAAACTGGGTTCCTTTCCTTTCTTGCCCTCTGCAGAGGGAAATATGGATAAGTAAATATGTTTTAGAATATGTTCTTTGATTCATCTTGCAGCAGCCATTGCTGTCCTTTCATAGTATTTTGCAATAGATAGTTCTTCTAGTGAGATTTTGAACACCTGCAAGGATGGAGCAAGGACATCTCCTGACATTCCGAGAACACATTCTTTCACACTTGGGTGTTCTCCTGATACCCCATGAACACAGACTTTCAGACACAATCTATATTCATTGTAGCCACCCAGTTCATTCCATGAAATAACCAGATTCCTAAAACTCCAGTACAGAAAAATTCTTACCAGAAAGGCCCACATGGCACCTTAAAGGAAAATTCTGAATTTCATTTTAAGAGAACATATTAAAATAACATTCACTGCCATTAGAAGTGCTTTAATATTGGGGAATGGATCTGGTCCTCTTGACAGATGCTGAAAAGGCATCTGATCCTATTAACTCTTTAAAACATGAGACTTATTGCATGATTTGATGCAGTCACTGTTTAATTTGTTCTTAGGCAGCATTAGTGAAAGGAGCACAGAGGATTGAAGATGGTAGTTTTACCCTGTTTTGGGCTAGCCGACTCCCAGAGCATTGTAGTTACTATTGATCCAGAAAGTTGCTAAAATGTGGTTAGTAGGGAGGACCAGGGTGGTCAACATGGACACCGTAGCCAGCTGGATGAATGAGTCCAAGGACTTTAGGTGGTAGACCTGGATAAAGATATTTTTAGTCCTTAGAAAAGAATAATTGATTAGCTGGCTTAAGTTTGTTTTTTGGGTTTTTTTCTCTTTTTTAAAATTTTTTTAAATTTTAATTTATTATTGTATGTGTGTACCATCAAATCAGATCTGACTGGTACAGGAGGAGATTGTTTCTCCTTCTCCAGCAGAGCATCTGGTGGATTTGAACCGTGCACCTCTGGGTTGCAGTACACCTTCTTGCCACTAGGCCACCAGAGCTAGCCAAGTTTTATTGTTTGTTATGACAGTTGGCAGGTCTGGGCCCAAGCAAGGAATGGTGCAGGCATTTGCAGTGGAGCCTCCTGAGTATAAGTGGGTGCTGTGTCCCTGACTTTGAGCAGATGCCCCTTTAACAGAATAACAGAACCAGAGTTGAGACTTGAGCCATTACTTTGTGGTCCCTTCTTTTTTTCATTTTCTTTTTCCAGTCCCTTCTGATATTTAAGGCTTTTTTTTAGTTTTTGTTCCTTTCATCCTTTTTAGATCCATATTGTGGCTCAGCCACAATGTTTTGCCAGTATTTTGTGTGTGTGTGTGATTTTTTTTTAACCTGTTTGGTAAATTTAACATAGGAGTTCTGAGTTGTGATTGTAATCAATACGAAAGAGAATGACAAACTAGGAAAACTTAAATTTATAGTCTAGAAGGTATATAAATAGCTACTGTTTTATCATTAATATATTAATAGCTGTTTTTTCAGCCCCTTTCTTTGCATAACTCCCATAGTATTTAAATGCAGGCATATAAAATAATCATTGTGTAACTTAAAAGTTTCTTTCAAGGAAAATTTTTTCACTATTATTTTTAGACAATAACAGCTACTTACAGCTTTAATTATAATAGAATTATTGTTAAGAATAGCAAAGTTTTTATCTTGATTAGTAATTGTTTTATACTTGACTAACATTACTCATGTTAGCTGTTTGTGAGGGAACCATAGGCATAATGGTTAAGGTCTTGGCAGCTAACTGAAATGTTGTTAAGTCGAGCAGCTATTGAGAGGAAAGGCCTGGGAGTGTGTTCCTGGGAGGATGTTAGCCTGGAACTGGAAAACCATGTGATGCAGCTTTCTGTCCTGTTAGGTTGGAATCTTATGGGGTTAAAATAAACTCAGTGGCGCCTCACAGTAACAACAGTGAATTATGTTGTTAGGAAACCTGGCAATTGAGTGATTTATTGCTTTGTCATTAATGAGATGGTATTCCAGACATAGGAAAGAAAGATATTATTAAATTAAAAACTATCGGCTTATTTACAAAAATGGGATTTCTTTTCTCTTTTTATGGTTATAGTATGGACACATGCAGAGAATTCTAGGTTATGGATGAAAGTTATTAAATTCTCAGCTCATTTTCAGACATCTAAGTATGGGATATATGATGAATTTCATGCTGTTCTTTGATCTAGAATGAATTTCCTTTTGTGTCCTAATGTTATATTAGTATATGCCATACAAATTTACAGTGAATCTATGCACTGTGTTCACATACACTTGTATACATGTATGTTTGCCAAGAAGAGACAAGAACACATTTTAAAGAGTCTTTTTCATTAGTTTATAGCAGTGCATTTTCACTAAACATAGTTATGTACATTTTCTCTCTAATTCTTGCTATTCTGTATCTATATATTTAGGCTGTGCTTAGATTGTTTTCCTATCAGAATGTGATTCTTAGGAAGAGTCTGATAAATACAAATCTATTACAGAACTTGAAAACTCATTTCAATTAACAGCTAATTTTAGAAATATTATAAAAAGTTGAATTTATATTAATGATTGCTAAGTTCAGATAATTAGAATTAACTAATCTGAAAATTTCTGTTTTTCAAGTATTTGCTTGATTTGTTAATTTTAAAACCCCACAGATTTTGATACTTCCTAATGATGTGTCAAGTCAACATTTTGTTTTCAGAGAAACAGATCATTTAAGTATTTAAAGAAAAATTTAATGTTGTTATCAGGAAAACATTTAAAATAACTTGGTATTCCTATGGTGCTAATATGTTGATACATTGACCCAACTCCTCTACAAGTATAAGAAAAAGAGAAGAATAGGAGCTTAATTTTTCTTTCCCAAAGTTAAGGTTCTGTTCAGGATTGACATAAAATCTTCAGTGTGCAATATCAAAAGAAGAGAAGCTGAGTAGGAGAAAAGAAAATGAGGTGAAATACATATTTTGGAGAAAGGGAGAGGACTTAAAAAATTTTACTTTCAACATACTTAAAAAAGAACTTTTTAGGTAATAATATTGTGATAATCAGCCAGAATCATCTGAGCCACTTTTGTCCCACTGCTAATAGGATCTTAATCACTTTCTCCTTCATAGCCCCTTCTCCTTATTCCCCCACTCAGTACTGGATTACACATTACTATGTGAGAGATAGAATCATGTGTGATTATAAAATACTTTTGGTGACTCCTGGCTGTATTCCCTCATGTAAAAGGCCACTGTTTTCAAACCTCTGAACAAAGGTGAACTTGAAAAAAATAACTTTCTCTATTTCATCCTGGTTTCTCTTTTCCCCTCTTTACTTCTTTGTGCAGTTTTAGGTGTTTGGGTAGCAGTGGAGTTCAAGAAATCTATTTTAATCACTTTTACCTTAGGAAAGTATGTTTTGAAATATCACACTTGAACTGTTGCTTCAAGTATATTCCATATGTCTCCTATGTTAACCAGATTTTTCTCTAACAATTGCCAACATAAACTTATGTTCTCTTAAAATAGCTAGGTTTTTCACATATTTTATTGTCATCTGTAATTCTGAGTATAATACAGTATGACAGGTATACAAGATCCTCATGTGTCAACAGTGTCAAATGCTTTTGGAAGAACTCTGAATAGATTGTCATTTAAATGTTTTGAGATTTAAGTAACACCAGAAAGCCAAATCCATTGTCCTCTAATTTATTCTGATTCATAGAGACGCCGTAGGTAAGAGTAGGTAGCCCCACTGGATTTTTGTGCTGTACATCTTGATGACAGCGGACTGCCGTATTTGCCCCCTAGGAAGCCTCTGATAGGTTCAAAACACAGACTTTTCTGTTAGACTTCACTCACTTTAATGACTGTGCCACCAGGTAAATTGTAATTAGATGCTTTTGAGTCAGCCCTGTGTACGACAGATTGAAACCCTGTGCCCTGTCTGGCGCCACCCGCAGTCTCTGCTGTGCTTTATTTAGCGCAGTGTTGGAGACGCTGTGCTGATCAGTCCTGTTGAGCCGTCTTCCTTGCATTTTGCTTACTCTGTCCTTTTCTAGGATTGAGTCCTGATAACATTCCCAGAGTACATTAGATGAAGTGTCACCATCATTACATCCAGCGAGCACTCTGCCTGCACTTGTAAGACAGATTTGTCTGTACTTTTGGCCGTAGATGGTACATTAGAGGTTGGAACATGAAGAATGTACACAAACATCATTATTTATTACTGCCACTCTGCTAGTTGGGAAGGGACATCTCGAGGTCCTAAAGTGTCGTTCCAGTTTGTTAAAACCTGTAGACTTGATTTTTTTCATCCTTGTATGGATCCCATTCTGCTGCAGAGTTCTGTGCTCCCTGGGAAGCTAACCTGAATGTTTTGATCCCTGTTTCTATCTTGTTACTAGTAACAAATATCATCTATAGATTCAGTTGTGTTGTTTAGTTATTAGAAATATTCATAGTATTTCTTAAACGTAATTTTTTACCTTGAGCTAAGGGGGGAAAATTCAGTTTAACTGAGGATGTAAAATGATTTCTCTTTAAATCATTTCAACTTTAAAACAGTTGAATTACAAGGATTAATTTTTGGAATAACTATTTTTTATATGTATTTAATTTTTACTTTTACCATATAGTTAACTTGAAAGTTTGAAACCCTCCTAGAAAAATAAGGTGCTGTTAGCCAGACTTTGAAATATTGTATTAAAAATATTAAGCAGCCATCTAATTTTCTCTTGCTGTCTACAACCATAGCTTGGTTAGCTGTAGGACTGGCTTTGATTTTCAGTAAGATGGCAAAAAGGAATTAGAATCTAAGTTCAAAGAACGACTTGCATAGAAACTTGAATTCTAGAATCCCTGAGTGGTAAAATGCTCAAGTGCTTCACCACTCAATGAAAGGTTAGCAGTTTGAACCCACCTAGCAGCACCTCAGAGGATGAGTCTGGCATTCTGATTCTGAAAGATCTTGGCTTTGGAATCCTGTGAAGCACCTCTTTTTGGGACCCCCATGAGTCAGAATCAGCTTAAAGGCAACTAACATTCACTGCTGAGCAGATCGAGTTGTCAGTGTCTGTGCATATGCTATAGAGTATATTACCAAAACCATGTGATTGTCGCTGTTAAGTGCCATCAAGTGAGTTGTGATTCCTAGTGACCCCATGTGACAGTAGAACTGCCTGGAGGCCTGGCTGTAATCCTTACCGGAGCAAATCACCAGGTCTTTTCTCCTAGAGAACTGGTTAGCTGCTGAGAGATTAACCATTGTGTCACCAGGACGACACTGACACAATATAAAATACACTTTTATTCTTGGGTGAACTAGGGCAGCGCTGTAGATTATGTTTTCATGTCCTTTCACTCTCTGTCCTAGCTGCTATTGAAAGCCAAGATATATTCATAATAAAATGAAGACTTAAGAGGACAGTGGTGTTGAAATTTAGTGAACTTGGTGTCTGAGAATGCCCAGGGGTGCAGCCCATCTCTCCTGTGAACTAACAGCCAGACTGTTTGTAATTTCTCATGCTATTTAAAACAGGGTTCTCATGTATCAGCCATCTTCTGTAAGGGTGCCCAGTGTGACTTCGGTTGAACCGGCTGGTATTCCGCCATCATTAACAGACTACTCAGTACCATTCCACCACACGCCAATATCAAGTATGTCATCAGATTTGCCAGGTACGTGGAGAGTTTTGTTTTACTTTTGTGAATTTTTTTCTTTTTACTCTTAATCTGAAGAGCAAATATAGTTTTACAACTGTAAATAGAAGTATAAGGGGAATTTGAAGGGTTTTATGTAAAGGTAGTATCTTTTTTAATATGTCATCTTCAAATGTTACTATTTTGTACCACAGATTAATCTGTGGGTTCCTTATAGGATGTGTAATAGAAAAGTAAAAACAACTTTATGCATTTTGTTCTCCCTTTTGGAGATTACTTAAGAGACTTTTTCTTGCTGTTGTTGAAGCGTCAGGATTAGAGATAGAATTTTCTCATCTATGATACACTTCTTGGTAGCCCATCAGAACATAGTATAGGATAGAGTAGGATCCTTTTAGCTGATAGCTTTACCCTGTGGATTTCTTTTCACCCTACTAAAGGAGCTCTCGTAGCCTAGTGGTAAGAAACTGCACTGCAATCCAAAAGGCATGTGGTTCGAGGTTACCAGCTGCTCCACAGGAGAAGGATGAGCAGGCTTCTCCTCTGCAGTTAACTGCCTCTTCAAACCCACTGGATGGTACTGAATCAGCAGTACACAACAACATGGTCCAGAAGGAGTCACACTGCTTGTGGACATGACCCAGAGGCCATGTCTCCCTAGTGGTTCTAATCCACCAGTGTCTCTGTGGGAGAAAGAGATAATGTGTGTGTGTGTGTGTGTATATATGTACGTATACATATATACACACACATATATATAAAATGTGTGTGTGTGTGTATAAAATGTATATATAAAACATGTGAGTTGTGTGTTTGGTATTTCAAGCAAGTATTAAGGAAATAAGTCCTAGTGCCACAGTGGTTAAATCACTGAGCTGTTAGCCGAAGGTTTACTGTTCAGACCCACCAGGGCTTCTTGGGAGAAAGATGTAAGAATCTGCTTCCAAAGAGGTTCCATCCTCAGACAACCCCATAGGACAGTCTTACAGGTTCCTGAGAGTTGACTCAGTAGCAACAGTTACTCTTTATTTGCGTGGGTTTTAGTGTTTTGTTTTTTAATTCTATTTTGAGATTTGTTTAGGGCTGATAGTTAAGCCTGTGGAGAACAGTATGGTGATGGTGGCTTTCATACCAGTTGATAAACAGAGTAGAACAAGGTCTTCCAGCTGTTGGTCTAGAACCTTCCTTAACATTTAAATAATAGTAATAATACTAACTCCAATAAAAACTCATGGTGCAACACTTTTGTCATGTTGTGTCTGTTTGAAGGGACTTCCTGTCATGTAGCAACATCTGAAATCCATTCACAGCACCATCTAAGAGTTGAGGTCTGTCTTCTGTGTCCTTTATCTCTGTGCTCTAGAAGAATTGCTCCTTTATTGTTATCTATGAATTATGTAGCTGTTATATATTAAAGAGATTAGCTTTTACTTTGGTTTTATTATTATAATACTCTCTTATAATTAATAATACCTTTACTTTTATTTTGTGCAGAATTTCTATGTAATTAGTCTTATTGTACAGAATATTGATATAATTGTAAGGATTTATAATAAAATATAAGTGAACATTGAGAATGCAGAGATGAAAAGTTTTAATACGTTTCTTAACATTCCTTTTAAATATCATAAACATGAATCTTCTGAATCTGCAGGAGAACAAAGAAGACTTGATATTAATAATGAACTGCAGCTTGGAACATCTTCTGATACTGTGCAACAATGAATACAAAATAAAACGAATTATTTGTATTTATGCAATGGAAAACAGCTTGGTTATTTCAAGGAAAAAATATGCCCGCCTTATTATTGTTAGTGCCATATTGTCAGGTGTGAATGGTGCTCAAAAGTTGTATCATAAGAACTTAAAAAGTACTGAACTTTTACGTATTTAATCATGTAGTAATTGTGTTCTGTTAAAAGTTTATGGCTCAAGAAAAGGAAATATGTAAGGAGAAAACGGAAATAACTTTACATATTTATGCATTTAAAATTAAAAAGTACAGTTTTATCAGTGTCAATAAATAAAGTATATTTAGAAGCTATCATTATAGTTTAAACATTACCTGTTTTTTTAGGTGTCTGAGTTTATTTAGTGTTGTTATAACAGAAATGCCACGAGTGGCTTTAACAAACATTGTCTCGCCATATTGGAAGCTAGAAATCCAAATTCAGAGGGCCATCTCAGGTGGACGACTTGTCTGTCCACTCTGGTGTCCGCTGTGGTCTTTTCTCCATCTGGAGGATGGTTCCTTGATGACTTCCATGTGACTTGGCTTCTCTCTTTCATCTCCCTGTTGGAATCTTATCCCACACTAATCCTCTGTCATATTATAATATAACCACAGGCACAGAAATTGGGGTTTACAGCATATATTTTTTAGAGACTTAATTCAATCCATTCTGTCCTTTTGACCCTCAAATTTCATTTGTTTGCTGTATGCTAAAGAAACTCATCATCACATCTTCCAAAAAGACTCAGCTACATCAAATGTGGATGATTTGACTGTCTCTCTTGGCCTCAACATCCCCTTTCCTTCTACCCCTTGGGAGTGGCAGCCCTGCTCCCTCAGCATTGGGTGGTGACCCCATCCCTCAGCATACCTCAATGACAACCCCATTCTAGAGAACCAAGTTAGAGAAGATCCGAGTCTGAAACTCTGGAGGCTGCGGCTGCGCGCTTGGAGTCCAGGCTCTGCCTTTTGAAGCGGTGAAGTCCCTGTCTCCTCTGCACCTCCTTTTCTTTCCTTTGAGGAGGGCAGCAGCTATTGCTCTTTGATCTGTTTCTTGCCTTGACATTTCGAGAGGCTTACTGTGGTGTTTCCTTTTGTTTATTCTTGGTCCTCTCAGTCTTAAGCTGCTGTGGTAGTTGACCAGATCCGTTAGTCACAGGCTTCCTGTCTTTAATAAAAGACTATGTTGTTACATCCTTGTTAAACAGTCCAACACACTTGTTCAATGGTTTGGTACCATAAGATTTTCCAAATTTGCATTGTACACAGTCTATTTTCCTAGTCCATCTCTTTCCATTCACATATATAAGCGGTATGAGAAAACAGTGGAGCCCCTTTAAATTTTTGCTTAGACATCTCATTAGCCAGATAGTCCATCACTTACATGCTTTAGTTTCCACCAAACATTTAAACATAAATTAGACCGTTTCTTTGCCACTTCATAAAAAGTGTTCCCATAGCTCCATTGCCCAGGCACATGTTCATTATTTCTTTTAAAGCTTCCCCAGAAGCCCATTCAGCATCCACATTTTTAGCAACATTCTTTTATTGTATTCTATTTATATGTATTCTATCAAATGGCAGAGACTCACCAACTGCCCTGGCTTCCTTCTAAGCCCTTGACAGAATGACCTTTGATAACTGAGTTTTGATCAACTCTTTGAGGCAATCTAGACTTGTATCTTAAACTCTGCCAGCCTCTTTTTAGTCCCTGATTCTAGTACTGATTCTACATTTTAGATATCCTTAGAACCTGTAGTACCAAAATCTTTCTTGTGTAATGTGGCAGTCACAGAATTAGCACGTGGCAGATGAATTTTCCTGCATTTTAGGCAGTTAGCCATCCAGTTTCAGAGTGCTGGCTCCAGAGGACAGCTTTCTCTCTCAGCTAGCTTTCAAGACAGCATTGTCTTTCTCCTTCCTCAAGATTATGTAGTGGTTGGCATCTTCCCTTGCCTTCCTGCCTCACATTACTTGTTTAATCTCAGTTATATCTCAAAAAAAGTTTGACTCAAGGTAGACCCATCACTAAGCTGCTCAGTTTATGATAAAAATGACAACTCATTGCCAAATAGGATTATAATCATTGTCATAGGGATTATTCTTTTACAACGTATTTTTGGAGCACATAATTCAACCTATAGCATTATTAAAATAGTTAAAACATTTTCAAGCATGAAATACTTAGGAAGGAGTAATAGTAAATTAATGGTACTTTGTCATTAACATTTGAAATTTATGAAATACGAACATTTTGCGAAAAAACAAGACTGCAGATTTTCAGTTACTAGTGAAACCACTCATTTTTATATAAGAATTTTAACAATCTAAGGCATAAAATCCAAGACTTTGGTGATAGTGTAAAGTATTTGACTAGAAGAAGTAATATCTGAAGTTTTATGTCAAACTTAGGTGTTAATGTTGACAGTAACATCTGTAATCTGGAGTTTGAGCGAAAATGGTAGAAAAAATTCTGTGTTTCGTTACCATACTCAATTATCCCAGAATATCCCAGAACATAGAAACCAGGTCCAAATCTCTGATTTTTTCCCTCTAGACTTACTATGTCAACTACAACAAATGAAAGATCACCAAAGACAGTTGAATGTGAACAGTAGCTGAAGAGCGAGACATGATGTCATGAAAATAGAAGGTCCTTAGACCCTGATGGGCAGCGTCTAGTGATAGAATCACAGACACAGTTTGAAAAGTATATTAAGCTTTGTGCATGTCTCCTAATGGAAACTGAAGTGAGAATACATATTTAGAAAATGAGTCCTTGAGTGATTCACCAGAAATGCCAGTGCTTTCTTCAGCAATTTTCCATTATTAAAAATTTGCTTATTCAACACAGTAAAAATTATTGCCCTAAAATAATAAAGAGCAGAAGGCAATATATAAATCTTAAAGTACCATTTGACACAAAATAAAATAAACCCAATTATAGTCCAGTTATTTTTATATCTTAGTAAGAGTAGACATGATTCTCAGAAGGTGTTGTAAGGGCTAGATAAATATTGTACTACTCAGCAAAAAGGATTTTATGGACAGTATTAATGTGAAAAGAAACACTTAATGACTTATGTCATCTAGTAATTACCAGTTACCTATGTAAAATCTTGTCTTAAACCTGCATCATATATTTAGCAATAGTCATAAAAATGGAAAATTTTGTCTAAAATTAAAAAAATACTTTGGAATTGGTTTTAAAAATGGTGCTATAGCTTATACTACTTGATAAGCATTTTATTGTATCTTTATAGATGATAGACAAATATTCTCTATTATTTCTTAGTTATAAATTATTTTTGCTGGTCTAAAATTTTTTAATATTTTCCCCCTTTATAGTCTTATTTTCCGTGCAGGGGCCTCTAGTGGGGGAGTTGTTCTGCCCCCCCCCCACAGATGACACCCCTCTGGTGATTCTAATTCACCAGCAGCTTGTGGGAGAAAGATGAGCATCTCCTGTGCGATTTGCAGCCTTGGTAAAGACACCAGAGGGTTAGTCATGAGGCTGTCCCAGCTCAGTGGCAGTGAGTTTGAGTGTTTATTTTGGGTGAAGTCTTGTATCAGATCTTTACTGTGTAATAATTAAATTTAATTAGCATCCAGTGTTAACATGTAAAAATTCATGACACAGAAATTGGCCTTTCCTAGTGACCTGTATCTAGTGTGTGATTCTAAAGAAATGTCTTTTAAATAATCAAAGTATTTAGTCAGAGAGGTCTAGGAGAACGGAAATTTATTACTAGAGTTTTAGGTCTAAAAGGTTTTTATTATTATAATTTTAATACTTCAGAATTATATTACTCAGAATCTGTTTTTCCACATTTCTGTTTTTCAAAATGATGGAAACGTTCTCGGTCCTTGGTTCAGAAAGTTCCCGAAGTTTAGCATCCAGTTAGCCTTGAAGCGATGCAGCTGGGCAGCGAGCAGCAGTGATGTGCAGCCCTGATGATGTGCTGCCTTTGATGGGTGGGATCAAGGAAACAGCAGTGAAAGAAAATGTGATTCTAGCTGAACCTCAACATGGTGTATTTTTAAAAAATAAATATCAAATATCTTAAGCGCCTACGTATGCTTGTTTTAATGGTTTGAATGCAGATCAGTGACAGAGGGGTCGGCCTTGTGTCCCTGGTCCTACTTCCCTGCACCCTGGATTGCTGTGGTGGAGTCTTTTTGGGGTATGGTTTCTCCTTTTGTTTTGTCAGGTAGTATGTTCATCCCTGTGTCTCGTGCACACTAAATGTTACTGCTTTTCTTGTGAATTTTCTTTGTGGCAGAGTGGTAAACACATCCCCCAAATGCTTTTTAGCTTAGAATACATAGGAAAATATATTTGGGAAATAATTCTAGTCTCCAAAGTAAAAGAGACAACTATTAACAAAGCATTTTTGTTTTAGGTTTGGATTTTCTTTCCCTTATTCCAGTTGATCCCCAGGTATGTATCCTGAATTTAAGCAACTAATTTATATTTGATTGTCGAGTATGTCATACTAACTAGTAATGACCAGTTGCATAAAATCAGGACAGTCAACTCTCAGTTACTTACACTCATGGACAGGTACTATGTAAATATTTCATACATTTTGTTAAAAAGAATTTAGAAAAAGTTTGATTTTTTTTTTCAGCTCAGAATATTTTGGCTTTAATACTTGAATCTATATTTTATTTCATTTCATAATCAGTTGACATTTCTTAAAAGCAGTTGAACAATCTGAATGAGGAGAAACAGTGCTAGGTGGCTGGAAGTTAATATTCACAGGCATAATTTGTAAAATATACATCCTCTATACGGACAAAAGGCAGCAGATTTGAATCATTGACTTTGCAGTCACGTAATTTTAAAGGCTGTAAGGTTAGGGCTTTGGGGATACCCCAGTTGATAGTTGCTATGTACCTCACTTCTGTTTTCTCTTATCAGTGGCCAACATGAAGGAGAAGGTGACTAGGGAAGTAGACTCAGGTGTTTGTACAGAGGAGTAGGGGCGGGACCATCAGCCACTGCTCCAGGAGAGGCTCTTAGTCGCTTATCACCAGTCTTCACCAGCCTCCTGTTCCCATGCTGTGCATCTGGTCACAAACAGGGGTATGGGGAATTTGGGCCTTTTTCACAAAATGATTACTTTCTCTTGACACTTGAATGTATTTTATCACATCAGTAGCTTCTTTTAAGAAAGGCATCTGTTACTTATTTTTCTAGGAGATAGATTTTTCAGGCTTAAAACTTTTATGTGCACATTATCTTTAAAAAATTAATCTTGAAGCCTAGAAGACTTGTAATAATAGCTCTGTTTGACCCACTTATGTGGCAGGCAAGCTCTTTATTTGATGAATCAATAGAAGCGGGTAAGGTTGTTTTAAATTTACCTTAAAATCCTTAGCTTTTGTTTTGCTTTGTCTCCAAACTACCCCCTTACTGACCCCGTGCACATTAAACACAGGGAATGCAGGATGAGATGAGAGGTTACAGTGGCTGCACACCCTAGAAATACAAGAATTCAAGGCCTGGAGCCCCATTGGCAGCATGCTAGAGCATCTAACACTCATTTTACAATTTTACATTTTAGTAGAGAGTTGGAGATTGATTGGCTTTTAGAGAAAAATTTTAATACCTGACAACTCAGCTATATTTAGAGCGCCCTAGAAGCTCTTGAGAAACACTTGCCTTTCCCCATTGAGCCTCTTTGTGGGTGGCATTCTTTTTCTTGTGACCCAAGTCATATATCCATTGTGAACATTAAAGTACTTCTGTGCCAGGCAACCTGCATTTTAATTGTTGCCTTCCACTGACTGACAGCTTAAATCTGGGGCTGTTCCCATTTTATAGGCCTTGATCAAGGTCATGTAGTCTAAGCTTCAGTTTTCAGTTCCTGTTCTATAATCCAATGCAGACAGTCCCCTGGTTACAAACATCTGACTTAGGTCCAACCTGAAGTTACCAACCAACCAATTCCGTAAAGCCTCTGCTTCTAGAAGTTTATGCGACTTGCAGTGGTTTGCAATATGAATCAGCTGCTACTTTTTTGACCTACATCAAAATGTTAGTAGTAGTATAGATGTTTGCGTGAACTTGCAAGTATTAGTGTGTTTTGGGGTGTTTTTTTTTATAAATAGAAGGTACAGTGTATACAGGCAAACATTTGACTGACGTAAGTAACAAACTCTACTTAACTGCTCCAGCTTATGTACAAATTTGACTTAAAGACATACTTCAGGACAGAATGTGTTCGTAATGTTAAGGGGGCTACCTGTATATCTTGACGATGGCTCGAATAAGGTAAGTCCCCTGGTTACGAACTCTTGACTTAGCGACAACTTGCACTTGACAACAACAGGCTATTCTAAAGCCCTGTTGCATTAAAATTTTGTGTTAAGTCCCGTGGTTCATGATAAGCATTTCTTCAGGGAGTGCATGAGAACATTGCGTGGCATCAACATTTTGTTGACTCCAAGGAGAACAGCATCAGACCTTTAAAACTGGATCACATTGCCATTAACGCTGTTTTTAGTGTTTAACTTTGTATTTGGCTTAAATTTTCCTCTTATTTACCCTTGTAACCATGCCTCCAAAGCGTAAATCCAATGCAAGTGCGGGGGATGCATCAAAGAAAAGGAAAAAAATCACAATGGAAAATAAAGTGGAAATAATAAAGCGATCGGAAAGAGGGGAAACGCCATCCTTCATTGGGAAAGCGTTAGGCTACAGTCGGTCAACGATCGGAACCATCTTAAAGGATAAAGTGAGAATAATGGAGCACGTGAAAGGCTCAGCCCCTATGAAAGCCACGATTATCACTAAGCAGCGCAGTGGGTTAATTATTGAAATGGAAAAGCTGTTGATAATTTGGTTAGATGACCAGAACCAGCGCAATATGCCCGTTAGCCATACCCTAGTCCAGGAAAAGGCCCGAAGCCTTTTCAATGACTTAAAAGCTGCACGGACGGCAAGTGAAGGTGGTTGTGCTGAAGAGTTCGTTGCCAGCAGGGGTTGGTTCAATCGCTTCAAGGTGAGGGCGAATTTACAGAACATTCAGGTGCATGGTGACGCAGGGAGTGCAGATGTCAGTGCTGCAAGTGATTTTTCTGAAATGTTGAAAAGAATTATTGAGGAGGGAGAATATTTGCCAGACCAAATATTTAATGTAGACGAGACAGGGTTATTTTGGAAAAAAATGCCTGAAAAGACCTACATTTCAAAAGAGGAAAAAGATGCACCGGGGCATAAGGCATCGAAGGATAGGCTGACATTGTTGCTTGGAGGTAATGCCTCTGGGGAATTAAAGCTTAAGCCTTTGTTGGTATATCGCTCCCTAAATCCGAGGCCACTTCGTTGTGTCATTAAGGCGTGCCTTCCTGTTATTTGGAAGGCCAACGCAAACGCTTGGGTTACAATTGCCATCTTTGAAGACTGGTTTCTGAACCATTTTGTCCCGGTTGTTCAACATTATTGCCTGACCAAGAAAATCCCCTTCAAGATTCTCCTTGTGCTTGACAGCGCGCCCGGACATCCAAGTACTCTAGATGACCTCCACCCCAATGTAAAGGTGATATTTTTACCCCCCAACACCACATTGCTACTCCAGCCAATGGATCAGGGAGTCACAGCCTCATTTAAGGCGTATTATTTACGGCGGACCTTCTCCCAAGCAGTTGAGGCCACCCAGGATGATGTGATGAGCCTCAGGGAGTTCTGGAGGAACTATAACATTTACGATGCCATTAAAAACATTGCCGATTCTTGGGATGAAGTGAAGCCGTCCAGTATGAAAGGAGCATGGAACAAATTGTGCCCCCAGTTTGCACACGCTTTCCAGGGGTTTACAGCGGATGACATTGCTGAAGCCAGGCAAGCTGTGGTTAATATTGGTCATCAGTTGCAATTAGACATCAGTGAGAATGATATTGTAGAGCTACTCAACTCTCATGCCGAAGAGCTAACCAATGAAGACCTTATGAAACTAGAGCAGCAGATGGTAGCATTTGAGGAAGAAAGCAAGGACCTCAGAGTTCTAGAACCGAAAAGGTTTCTGTCGAAGGAGTTGGCCAAAGCCTTTTATCTCATTGAAGCCGGGATGGCAAAGTTAGAGGAGCAAGACCCTAACACAGAGAGGTTCTCCAGAGTTCACCGGGCAGTGACAGAGGGTCTCAGCTGCTATAGGGCCATTTATGATGAGAAAAAGGAAAGCTCCGTACAGATGCCCCTTGATTTCTGTGCCAAGAGAGGAGCTTCAGTAGGAGAGCCTCAGTCAAACCCTGGCTTCCCAGCACCAGACCCATCATCCTCAGAAATCACCATTGCACCATCCTCAGCTCCTGCATCCTCCAGTTATTAATGCTACCTCACAAAAGGTCACACTTTCTAGCTCGATAGTTTAATTATTTTTGACAATGCTATATCTATGACACGGATTTTTCTCTTCAATATAGTTCCTGATATCGTTTTTATTATTACTGTCTTGCACTGTTATTATGTACCATATCATAAATTATTAATGTTTAATATACTCTGAAAATGTTAAGTGTTTTATATGCATAGAAAGGTAAAAAATATATGCTATATTCTAAGACAAACGTTTGACTAGTTGACGCTCAAACAGAACCATACGCACCTGTTCTGACTTACCTACAAATTAGACGTAAGGACGGACATAGGAACCAATCTCGTTTGTAACCCGGGGACTATCTGTAATATATAGAATGAAAAATACGGATCATTCATCTCCTTACTGGTCTTCTTTCATGCATTAAAGCTAAACTTGGCAAGTTTCTTGCAGTATATATCCCTCCATGGCTGTTGAGTCGATTGCAACTAATTGTTAACCCCCATCAGGTTCCAAGGTGCAGTTTCCCTACAAGATACACTATGCTGATAGAAACTCAGCTTTGGGTGCCTTATACCTCTCTTTGTTCCTGTTCTTTAATGCTAGAATATTAAATTGATAATCCATGTGGGAATCAGTAACCAGGATGATGAGGGGTTTGAGATCTGAACAAGGGGGGAAAGGAAGGAGCTGGGTTTTAAGTTTCATCCCTGAGTTCTGTGCTTACACGAGGTCATTACTCTGAGCATGCAGGGCTAGGTAGCCACTGTGTAGTGTCTTGGGATGATTGTTGACTTTCTGATTATATAAGAATTTTTACGTGTATTTAAAGAACTCAAACGCCACCACTCCACTTATCTTTACGTTCATAAAGTGTCTGCTTGATTTTACATGTTGAGTTACTGAACTTGATGTTAGTTAGCATTTTTGCTTAGTACTATTACAGAAATATTTACTAGCCTTTTGCATTGTTGATTGCAAGTCTGTCTCGATACATTTGCTGAACAAATTCTTAAGATTTAATAGGAGTCATAATTGTGGGGCCAGTATTAAATGACTTGAGTTATAATTCACATTATTTGTGCTTTGATTTATGTGGTCCACCAATTTTATACAACTTTTAGAGAATAAAGAATGTTCTACATTCACGAAGTAATTGAAAATAGCTAAATTCATGCCACCTTCCAACCAGAGATGAGAAGTTTTGAGAAATGTTTCGATCCCAATGGGATTTAACTGCGTGGCTGTCACTTATGCGTATATAACAATCTCTAGTCTCTTTATTTAAAAGTCAATGTCGCCTCTTCCTCATCGGCATCATTGTTTGTTTCAAGCAGTACTGTCCTCCTATGTTTTTGGATAGTCTCACCTCACCCCTAACAGCAAGCAGTGCGTCTGTCACCACCAGCAGCCCCCATGAAAGCAGTGCTCATGTTAGTTCAACCAGCAGCAGGAGTGAGACAAGGGTCATAACCAGCAGTGGAAGTAACATTCCTGACATCATCTCATTGGACTAAGGAGGACTCGTTGCATTCTAGGAATCATTCATCATAACTGCTCTTTATTGGATCTTTGGTCTGTGGAACCTTTTTTTTTTGGGGGGGGGGGCAGTTGCTTTGCTATTTATTGACACGTCAAGTGGATTCATTTGCTTTTTGAGAGATGAACACAGATGACTGCAGCAAGAACCAAATGATGTGGAAGGATTTTTCTTATTTATGGTATTCGTAGAGCATCAGACCATTCATCCATAACTGTGTCTCTCCAAGTGATGGACTTCAATTTCATATGGGTGAATTCTACAAGTGGACTTTTTTTTTGTTATTATAAAGGGCAATACTATTATGTAATTAAATACTCAAGTTTTTTCTAGTAAAAAAATAAAAGATGTAATTAATGATTCTGGAATGACATCAACTTGTATTTAACCTGATGTGAAGGAAAAAGTTATACAGGAAGAAGCATTGTTTGCTGAGGGCTCTTTACCTCTTAGACGTGAAGAAGCCTTGATAAGTGGCCGAGCGTGGGCTCCATTTTCTCCCGGGGATTGGTTTTCTTCCTGATCTCACCCACAGAAGTGGCCTTTGATAAGCATCTTGCCCTGATTGTCACCGATTGTTAATGAACAGAGGATGAAGCCTGTACTTTGGCTGCTGTGAGTTATGTTGAAAAATACGCAGATTCTGTCCTGACTTAATGTGTGTTATTTTGGGTTACTGTACACTTTTGGTCTGTAGAGCTTTTTATAAATTTGGAGACTAGCTTTCTCAGTTAAAAAACAAAAACAAAAATCTGTGCAGCCATTCAATGAAATGATTTTGAGCTAAGGTATGGTTGGAGGGGGTTATAGAATTTTCCTCACTCTGGAAAGGAAAAAGGAGCTTGCTGGAAGCTGAACAGAATTAGGAGAGGCAGGAGTAGCAAAGTCATCCCTAAATAACTTCTTGAACACTTAATTTGCTTGCTTATTTTGCTGAATAATATATAATTTGTTGAAACTTTTCATAAAGGGGGAAAAATCACTGATCATATTTATTAACAATGTAATCTCAAAGTTAATTAATGGCTTCTAAACACTGAAAGTTTTACTTGAAACTCTTAAAGAGAAAACAATTAGGAATGTTGGGGCTGAAGTGAGGAGGGGTCCCTGCTACCCTCAAATACTCCTAAGGGCCCTTGCTGTTCTGAGAAAACAGTTTTGCCTCTTTGAGGAAATTATTCACCCAAAGTTTTTCTTTTCCTCTGACTGCTTAAATAATATTGGGGTTTCTCAGTTAATTAAAAGGTAATGGGATACTTAGATTTCTCTCCCTAATCTGAATTTACTTCCTTTAAAGGAACTGTCTCCATTTTTTCCCTTTATTAATCCAGTGAATTGATTCTCTCTGCAGTTTCAGTTAGAAAAGCGAGGGACACACAGCTTCATGGCCCATCTAACTCTGGGGAGCTGACTTACCTCTACTTGTGTTTTGCCTCTTCTCCAATTTTCATGGCTTTTCTGTCCTTTTGTACTGATTTAATTTCATCCTGTGTTCTGCGTCATTCCTTCTTGGCTACATCACCCCTTTGTTTAATGTACTGTTCCTGTGGATGGGCTGCATTTTATTAAGGCCATGGGGAAATCAGGCTTACAGCAGTGACTGTGCCATAGTTGCCAGTTATACCTACCTAATCATTAGGTTTCTAATACATGTTTTTAGTCCTTTGGTCCAGATACAGATTTTCTTCCTAGTAATATTTTATGTTGCTGCTCTTAATACAGATACCCTTTCTGTTAACTTTGTATAACCAGAAAATGGTAAATTGATTTGTGTGCTATAATTTGTTAATAAAGAAATGATGTATATTTGTTATCCTTTTGTTACCCTTTAGATTCTCCACCACCTCCCTCTAATTTAACCAAGTAGTTGTACAAGGAAAAAGAGAATCTTGATGGAAGATAGGTGGTTTTTACTTGCTTCTTGGAACCAATGCCCGTGCTCCTGTGGCGGGGCCCTTTCTTTGTCACTACTCTGTGAACTACTACTCTGTGTTCCTTGTGGCTGTTTTCCACTCAACTGATAAATTTTTACTGATAAATGATTTTTCAACATATATATACACATGTATATACACAATTTAAGTTTGATAAGGAATTCTGCAGTTTGGGTTTATCTTTGTGTGTTTATGCAGGTAAGTACTCTTGTCTGCCTTTGGCCCTATGCCAGTGTTTATGGTTAGCCATTCTTTGTTTAGTTACTATTTTTCTTTCCCCTTAAATCAAGACCTTGACTTTTCACCAGTGTGTTTTTAGAGGACAGGTATAATATTCGTTCAGAAGGGGTCATCTTGCCTGTTCGCTAGATGTCAGCCAGCCAGTGATCATCCGGGGTAGCCTGTTCAAGGGAAGAAATTGCTGTTAGCAGGCTTATGATCACTTAACTGTCCTGTGTTTTTCTCTTTCTTCACGTAGAAATGTCCAGGGCTTTTCTCATTTGATGATGGATGGTAATTGATGCTGAGTATCTTCAAACCTGAGGTTTGCTTGTACTCTCTCACTTCTCTCAACTTGATGACTGAGGATTTCGGCCTCTTCCCTGCCTCCCCCCATTTTTGACAATAAGACAATTTTGAAAGTCAAGCAGAACAGTCAGGGTGAATTTAAGTTATTTATCTGAATCTGACTGTTAGGTATTTCAGGAAAGCTAGAGTAAATGCATTGGATTTGTTTACTCTTAGTATCATTGCCTTTGAATGGAATTTGAAGGAAACTAAGTTGTTGAATTTTGGGCAAAACCCAGTAATAGACTATTCCTAGTTGGATAGAGGTTTTTACCTTCAGACTATTTCTGAACATTTTCCATTTAGTTAACTAAGTTATTTCTTTTCCTTCTGCCGGTTAAGTATTAGTTACACTTGACTTTTTAAAGTAAAAGGGGTATTAGATTTATTATTAGGTTTGTCTGTTATTTCTGTTCCCACTTAATGGGTTTAAAAGAAAAAAGCTTAGCTATTTTGTCCTTGTTTTTAATTTTCCCAATTTATCCCTAAAACTTTGAAGACATACTTCTGTGGAATGTCATACTGAATTATTTCTCATCTCGTCATAGAAAATACAGAACAAAGCCTCTTTTTTTAATTTTTATTGTATTATTTTTACGTGTACCGTCAAATCAGATCTGACTGGTACAGGAGGAGATTGCCCCCTCCTTCTCCAGCAGAGCATCTGGTGGATTTGAACCACGTACCTCTGGGATTACAGTGCAGCATCTTGCCACTAGGCCACCAGAGCTCCCTAGAACAAAGCATCTTTTAAACTAAGATAAAACATTGGGTTAGTGACCCAGGATGTGTGTCATGTGGGAGCTTAGAGGTAAGCACAGACAGGTGATTGACAACTCGGTCTGGGTCACCAGCTGTTCTCCCACGGTTCTGCGTGAATGTAGCAAAAGTGGTGAGAAATCATTTAAGACTGTCTTTGACTTTAAAAGTCTGACACTTCCACCTTACTGATCTGTAATTCCTGTTTTTGTTAGGAACCACCCTCCTCCTGTTAGAATAAAGTGTTAAAAAAAATCTGTTCCCTAATATTCACCTCTTTGGGTAATGGTTTTATTTATGCCAATAATACATACTCCTTATTAAAAAATCACTCAGTATAGAAAGTAAATAAAGGATATCTATTTCCTGTGTTCCAGAGTAAAATGTATCATTTTTAATATTTGTGTAATTCTTGCCCAGTCTCTACTGTTTGTACATGTTCTAAAGTAATGCTTTCATGTCTTTTCAAAATAATCATGTATTTGTTTTTCTCGGTCTACAGGTTTTACTCCATGTCATTAAATCTGTGCCATCATTTTATTAATTGCATATTATGTTGTACAGCAGGATTGGATCTCATGATGCTGATGTGAATGTCTTATTTACAGAAATTATTTCCTCAGGATAAATGCCTGGATATAGAATTTCTGAGTCAGAGGATATGAATATTTTTGTAGCTTTTGATTGGCTATCACCTTATGAAATGGTTTTGCTAGCTGTGTTTCCCAAGAATGTCTAACCCTGTTTTCCAAGAACATGAAGTATTTATTTCTGTGCAAGCCTCTGCACTTAACCCTTCTGTCCTCCTCCCCTGGTCAGTCAGTTAGGTGAATGAATTTTGAGGAATTGAATAGATTTTTCTAGCCTGTCTCTCTTTAAAGTATAACATGGCATGTTCAGAAATCGCTACATATGGATACTTGAATGATTTCTCAAAAAATTTTACTTGCACTGTGAAATAGCTCTTTCCCCCCCCCCTTTTTTTTTTTTCTAAATAGGGTTTATCCCTAGAGCCGGCCCTTAGTAGCTAGCTCCCTTTTTGCTCTTCCTGTAAGGTCCGTCTTGGACTTTCTGAGTACCCCAAAGGTGGTAGGATCTCCCAAAGCCAAGGCAGTCCAACCTAAACTGGAGAAATGGTTAGGCTAAACAGCACAGTCATGGGAAGGCTTTGTCTTCTCTCATGTTTCCAGAAACATCTCCACCTTCCCGGGCTGAGGTCTGCTGTGTGAAAAGGAACAGTTTTTAAAATGTTTATCCTGCTGTTTTCTTGACTGACCTACCCCATGGCGTGTTTCTCACACTATTCTTTCCTGCTAGATGACTTGTGCAGCTTTGTCCCCTTTTCCTTCGTGTTCTGCAGGTGTCACTTAAAATGTAGGGTGTTATCAAATAGAATGTACCTCTTATTTTGACTATCATGAAACTGTTGTAGAAATGCTTATTAAGTGTACGCGGATGGAGTATATTATAAAAGATGTAGACTCTAAGCAGCTTAAAAAGATCTATTTATTTTTCCTTGCATTCTTAACCAGTTATACACAGTAATAGAATTTCACAGTAACGTCTCATTCCTCGTAGCAGTCCTTTAAAAGAAAGTAATAGTCCCATTTTACAAAGAAAGGAGCAGATTTACGTAAAGTGTTCGAGAGTCACAGTGAAAATGTTGTCTTAGGAATCCAACTCAGACCAGCCTCAGAAGGCCTCTGTCTAAAAGCCT